ATGCATATAGGGTATACAGTAATAACATGCAGGATGCATATAGGGTAAGTACCAGATACAGGATGTTAGAAATATTAAAGATCGTCCAGAAAGTTCATCCAGACTTGATCTGTTTGGATGTTCAAAGATGATTGCTCCATTTTATCTGTTAAATAATCTATATCGTCAGGTAAATACTGGATTTGTTTTATTAATAAATTATGCAACCATCTGAAGGATTAACAATAAAAATTGAAACGGAACCAAGAACTCAAAGCAGAAACTGGATTATAAGTAACACAGAATGAAGAGTTCTCTTCTGGTGCAATTTATTAATTTTGCAAGTTAAACGATGTTAAAAAATGTAATTTTCTGTTGTTTTGGTTCATTTAAAGAAGCTTTTGCATAACAAACCATATTTTATCTTTTAACGTAATCTCTTGTAAATGAGTCCTCGAGGCTCATTGGGATTACCGTCTAAATAAAAGTTAAAATTAATTTGTGAAAAATATCAAAACGTTTGTACCAAATAGTTTAAGACGTTTTTGGATTTTTGGTATGAATGCACAGAACTCTGGCCCAAATTCTTAATTTGAATATTTAAGGAAAGCGTCATTTTTAAATCGTTTTTTTTTTTTTATTACGATTTCCACACCTGACCCTTCAGAAGTCTTCAGCAGGTTTTGTTGGACTCCATGAGTCCACCAGGAGCTCAACTGCATTTTGCAGCTTGAACAGTTCAGACCAGAGCTCGACCACGGTGAAGAAAATCCGTCCGGAGGAGCTCCGTCTGAGAACCTCGTGTCAATTATTGATGCAGCGCCGAGACCTGAGCGACCCGCAGTCACACCTGAGCCGAGACCCAGACCTGAGGTCAGAGTCTGAACTGAAGCACAGAAAACAGCAGGTAAATAAAACCCTCGAAGCTCTGCAGGAAGCAGAGTTCACCATCACGGCTTCGAGGTTCAATAACGTTCGGAAAGACCTGAAAAACAAGACGTCTAACAAGAGCATGTGCAAACATTTTTTATTGACGTTTCAGGATACAACGCGGTAAATCATCGTAAATCTCTTCTTATCTGAGGACTCTTTGGGCATCCAGTGCCTGATTAAAAAGCACACTTGGTTCAGTCACTGCTGTGGCGTTCTCCAGCTTTCTGGTCTGATTGCCGCCGTACGCTGCTGCTCTTTGTATAAAGAAGAAAACAAAATATAAAAAACAAGAAGAACCCTGAAGAATTAAATAAAACTAGATGCAGAGGTGGATGGGGGGAGTCGTGTCTTGTTCCCACTGTAACAGGAAGTTATAAATGCACAACGGTCCCCACAGCAGCAGGAATGTCTCTGCACGTTTTGACGTCTTCCTACAAACTGTACGTTGGAATTACAGTAAATAATCAGATTGCACTTCAGAGCAAAGACTAATATTTCTACACAAAGTAATCCTTTACTAAAAATACATTAAGTTACATTTTCCAAATAAATATTGGTCCATTTTTCCACTGTGTGCCGTCTTCCTGAGACACTTCCGGAGCCACAGACATATTCACACACCAGATTCACCACATGTGCTCTGATCAGGCTTCAGTTAACTCTTGTGGGTAAATATCGATCACTCCACTTGCTTCAACCATCTGCTTCAATGTGAGATCATCCTTCATCACACAACTCGTTCTTCCATTCGTGCCAAGACGTACGCAGTAAAACCGATTTCTCCGGCCGCACCAGCGCGGCACGAGTTTCAGGAAACTAAACGTCACGATCAGACGCAGCGAGCTTTACCTGACTGACCTGAATCTGTGCTGAAATGTCGTTAATACAAACTTGCATGCTGACACACAATAACAGTCTTACAGCCAAAGTAGTTTTTTTTTGTTTACTGTAAAAAAATAATGTGTTTATGGAAGCTTTTTGTTTTTCGTCTTGGGTTTCACAGTATCAACGTGGTTCTCTTCCTGGTCTGCTCATCGGTCTCTGTGCAACATGTTGGCAGTTGGTAGCTGAGCTTCAGTCTGCTGAGTTTGCTGGTATGAACACACACGCACGCACACACGTACCTTTTACTTCAACACAGCTCACAATCATCTTCATCATTCACACCACTTATTGCTTTTGCATACCGGTATTGCTGCTGTACAGGATCGATTGACGGAACAGGGCAGTAAATTGTCCAACAAGTCGTAACTTCCACGACAGACTCGTCTTCACAGACGACGGATGTAAAACTGTGACGTAAGGCAGCGAAACATGAACAGGCGACGTCCTCTCATACGTTAGAAACGGCACCGTTGGCGTCCCTCGCCTGGCGGATGCCGTAGAGCCATTTGATGACTCGAGCGTTCCTCTCGATGATGGAGATTCCGTAAGGGACTCGATCGTTGGCCCCCAGGGGCCCGTCGTCCTCGTCCCCTCCGCACTCCCTCCTCCGCTCGGCGTCGTCCCCGCACTCGGAGCTCGACGTGCTGACGCTGCGGAGCTTGGAGACGGACACGATGTCCGAGTTGGCCCTGGTGAAGCGCTCCACCCCGCCCATGCCCTCCACCTCCCCCGGGTCCAAACCGCAGTAGTTGAAGAAGCGCTCCAGGTCGGCGGTGGCGCGGGAGTAGCGGTCGCTCAGGTCCGACTTGGAGCGGTGCAGGGTCGGGTGCTTCCGGGACGAAGCCTTGGAGCTGGTGTTGGATATGCGGGTGAAGGCGGGCGAGGCCGGGGGGATCGCTCGTGCTCGGACCAGCAGAGGACTGGCAGGCAGGTAGGCAGGAGGGGGCTGGGTTTGGGATGAAGTGTTGACCTTGTAAGGAAGGTGTGGCTGTTTCTGTGGGGGAGGGGGTGGTGGGACCTGAGGGTGTGGGACCTGACCCTGGGCCGTCTGTCTGGGCCTGAGTGGGGGCCGCAGCTGAGCCCTCTGTGGCTTCTTTATCTCAGCGTGAGGCCGAACATCCACCCTGCGCACCGTCACCGAGTTAGGAGAGCTGTAGCTTGCTGGAACCCCACGAGGCGCCCGCGCCGGGACGGGGGGCGGACGATGGGCGAGTTCTGTGACAGGAGGGCGGGTGTTCTTACTGAGAGGAGAGGTGGTGGCTGAAGACTGCGGTTTAAGGTTGTTGAGGAGTCTCTTGCTCTTGTCCTGTTCTGCAGAAAGGCTGCTGCAGATGCTCTTAACTCCCGACGAAGGGGAGGATGAGGAGGGAGAGGTGGACAAAGACGACTGCGTCCCGTCACAAACGTCACCAATTAGATTATTCAGAATATCCAAACTGAAAGCGGGTCTTTTCTCCCTGCCTCCACCGCTCTCCGTATCGGCTGGGCAGCGGGGAACCTTTCGAGCCAGAGGAGTGTTGATGTGGCTATGAGCCATCATCGCTGGAGGAAGAAGGGGTTTGCGGATGGGGGGTTGGATGGGCGCCTGACGAGTGAGGGCCACCTGCTGGCTCTTCACATACTTGGCCTTGTCGGCCTCCAGACGCTCCACGGCGCTCAGTTTGCGGGTCCCCTGCTCAACCGAAGGGCGGAAATAGCCCGGGCCCTTGTTGAGTATCCTGAAGGGCATGGCGGAGGTGAAGGGGACCCCGGCCAGTCGGCCATCTGAGGGACGCAGCGTCTCCACCGGCATGCTGGAGGGGCTGACAGAGAAAAGACACACATTTTAGTATTACCGGTAAATATTTGGTGCAAAAACAAGATAATAGTAAAATATTACGGCAGAGCTTAATAAAAACTTTATTAATATACTTTCACGAGGTTCAAAACGTTGTGGACAAGAGAAGTTTCAGATTAAACGTATCAAACCCCCGCAGCACTGACATAAACCTTTCACTGTTGATAAACATTTGATTTGAACCCCACCCCCCCAGCTGAAAGGTGAGATCTCACCAAGCTGCGATTGTTAGGAAACTAGCTGCCGACACAAAATGTGTCAACTTCCTGCTGCTGCATGACTGAACCATTTGCCACCAAGTGACCAACGAGCCACGTGGCCACGTTTTGAAAATTACTCCTAACCATCATGTGCACGAGCTGCAGAACTTTATTCTTGGCTGTGCACATTTTATTGCCCACCTCGGCTCTTTGTACCCGCACGTCGACAGCCACCCCAACACTTATAATGAGTCCACTTTCAAACTGAAGACGGGCAGATTTTAATTCGTTTCTCAGTAATTCTTCATTATCTTGATGGTTTTACAACTAGACATGATGTGTAGTTATGATTATCGTTTAGCTCGGATGTTTCCTGTCGGAGCTGGAGTCAAAGTGCAGCTCTGGTGTTGTACACAGAACGACATCGTTGAGACAGTTTCGAGAGATTTTTTGTTTTATTTGCACAAATTTTTGAGCTGTGCTTCTCTGCAACTCACACAAGGAAGTGGAGAACTTCAGGGAAGTTATGAGATATTCAGAAGAGTACCTCGTGGATGCTGTTCACCAACTAGTTGCAGCTCTTTGTACCATCCTTTCACCGCCCCCCCCCCCTCATCTTTTGCTCCACCATTAACTTCCTTACCGTTTGCTGATCTGCTGCACTCCCCTTGGTCCTCCTTTCTTCCGTCTCCCCTCTCTTAATCTTTTATCCTTCTTTATTCTAGTCCCGGCTCAGTGAAAGGTTACTCCTGGGACGGGGTTAGTGGGGGTGAAATTCCACATCAGGACTGGCTAGACCACCTCTGTCAGCTGGTCTGGGTTAGTGTGCAGGTCTGGACCACTTGTTAGCTCCAAAATGAAGGTCTGGTAAGTCAGACGGCAACACGGCAGCCTTTGACGGTCCTTTTCACGACCGCTGCGCCTCCTGTCTGATAACCGAGTCCAGCTGTGATCGGGTACAAAAAGTCCAGCAGAGCCCCACAGTCCTGAAGAGTAAACAACAACAACAAAAAAGAGAAGTCCGGGTGAGAAAATGGTACGACTATCCGATTTCAGTCCGTCGTTCATCAACAGAAAAACGTCTACACACCAACAGACACACACAAACACACACGGCTCTCCAGCTGACAGACAGGACTGAAGTGGAGCAGACAGGACGGGCTTTAAAAACTACGTCTGGCTCCTCCCGGCTGCCCAATCAGCTCCAGGCCGGCAGCCTTGGTGGGGCACGGTGAAGGGACGGGAGGCGGGAGGCGTGCTCGCATTGGTCCAACTCAAAAGGGATTCTGACCAATCAGACCCCCCCAAACCCCCCCGTCCAACAAAACACTGAGGCAGAGCTTTCATTCAAATGAAAATTCATTGAAAAGGAGAAAGGGGGAGAACAACGGACGAAACAGATGCAATGTTTTACACCGGCTTGCATCAAGCCGGCGGGACGCCTCCTTCTTTGTCTTTATCGTTGAGGAGTAAAAACAAAAGTGAAGACATGTGAAACAATGAAAGGCCGCCTTGTTTGTAAGAGAATGTCTTTAAATGAGCCCTCCTGCAGTTCAGCTGATTGTATTTAAAACTGACCAAATGAACGAAGTTTAAAACGGAGCAGACATTTAAGTGGTTTTCTCCTTATTTCTACATTAACCTCAGATTACTAATCTCTTATATCGCTCAAATTTTAGAGCTCAAAGTATTTTTTGTGCACAATGTGTGTTTTCCTCTTTCTCCTGGCTCTAATTTCAGAGTAAATACTCCTTCACACACCTCGTCACCCCATTCCTTCATTTATTTTTACAGCTTTACACTCTTGGATTACAGCACATCTCATCTCGAACAGGTTCATCCTCACATTTTTTAATTGGGATGTTTATAGCCATTTCCCCCTCCATCAACTTTGTTTTTCTTCTGCTGCCGTTTCTGAACGTCGGATTAAAAAAGCAACAACGACAACTTCCGCTTGGCCACATGGTTAAAAACTCGGGACGTTCGCATGCAGAAACAAACTTTGCTTAATTTTTAACCGCAAGACAAACATCAGCACGAGTTTAGAGGTTTCAGTTTCAGTTGGAAGAAGACAGAAACTCACGAGACGACCTTATTGCCGTTTGGAGAGCAGGGGGGCCTAAAGGTCAGCTTTTATTTTGAAGCGTCGTGATCTCATTTTATAATAAAACGACTTCCTCGTCAAAGCCTGCAGTTAGTCTTCCACTGTGCAACATGACTTCTGCATTCCAGGCCACAGAACAAACACGCCAACGTGCCTGGAGTTCAGCGGCGTTCCCCTGTAACACAAACCAAACGCAGCACGTGACGCCGCCGTGCACGCCTCACTGTCCCACAACAAACGCGCTGCAGACCACGTGATGACACGCAACCAGCCGCCGACACGTATGACTTTTATAATTGCATGTAAACATTTTTATTAGAGGTATATGAGAGCTTAAAGACTAAAGTGTAGGTGAGGTGGCTCCAGCTGCTGCTCCGGATTCATTTTCCTACCTGGGGGGCAGGAATGGCCCATTACATTTTAAATATTGGCCCATTAACATTGATTTGCTGATTAATTGGTTCAGTTACTTAATTTATTTTTGTCTCCTTCTTTAACAATCTAATAAAAAAGTCCTTTGTTTGACATGGACGCAGTGAGTTTTCACAGAAATCGTTTCTGAATAAACTTGTAAGTTTTAATTTGCTTTTCCCTCGTCATTACCATTATGAAAACATTCTTTTTGGTTCAGAATAAAAGCTTTTTTGAGAGCAAAGTTTGTAAGAAGAGCTAAACATTGTCCCAGCTTTGGCAAAGTGGGGGTCGGCCACATGACTACTGAGGCTGACGAGTACTATTACCACAAAGAAAGCACGAGATGCCTATCACAGCAGCATAAACACGTCTTGGCTGATAACCTAATCCCAAGAGCCATGCATTATTCAGGCCTTTGTTATTCTTTTATTGGATGTTGGAGAGATAATAGAGACAATAGAGAGACAGTTGTTTCTGTGAACAATTACCGTCGACTCGCTAAATGAATTTACAGCACATGGACATCAGATCTGGTTTAAGTATGTAAATGTAACCTGTTATCTGTCTGCAGCTTGGCACCGAGGAGCTGCCTGCATGCAAATCCACTCAGCTCAGATTAATGTTACAGCTAAAAACAGCAGCTATTGTCGTTCGTTTTCTCTGAGAAGGCTCAGCTAAAAGCCGTCTTCACCCAGTGACACCTCCTGCAACCACTGATAACCCAATTGTGAAAGTTTTTACGTTATTTTTTTAAATTTTAGTCATCCTCATTTTTGTAGTTGCACAAATAGCTGATGTCTTTAAAAGTCAAAAACCACAGGGTCTGACCAAGAATTCATATTTCCATTCCACAGTGGAAACCGCTTGGTTTTATTATTGAACGAAGAATGTGATCCACGGTGGGACGTTTGGTTTTCCAACCACAGGATAAGTGGATAGTGATGTGGCTTCTGACGTCTGCGATTCAAAGCGTCTGGGGTGGGGGGTAATGTTTCTGAAAAAGATGTAAAGTGCTGTAAAGGAGCCGAGCAGACGAAATGACCAGCATCAACCAGTCTGATCAGGGCCACACAAACAGGCCACAAATGGGAGCAAATTATACCGACAGCTTCTAGTTGTAATAAATACTGAAGAAGAAATGGGTTTTCTAAAACTGTCGCCTCCAAAAAGGGAAGAGTCATGTAAAATCTAGAAAAACAAAGAGGATGTAGCACTTGAAGGACAAGAGGATTCTTTAATAGTGAGTGTGTGAGATACTGTGACGCCAGCTTGACGGTCCTATCAGAGTGGCCTTGGTCCCAGCAGACACTGACCCGAGTATAAAAACAAGACAAACCCAAAAGAAGTAAATCAGAAACATCCTCTATCCAGTGGAAGTCTGACTGCAGGAAGTCTGTTAAAGTTTGATTACTTTAAAAAAAAAAAAAAGGTACCTCATGATAATGGTGCTTTGCTCGAGGCAACATAAATGATCATAATGTCAAAGCTTTAAGTTTGCAAATCACTTTTCAAAAAGGTTATTTTTAGAGGCGGTCCTGTTGGGAAGAACTGGATTGCTGTGATGAGTTTGTTAGGTGACATTTTCAGGGTTTCCCCCACCCCCAGGTGGAAAGACGAGCAGGAAATAACGGCATGATTTACAACAGACACGATCAGAAAGGCCAAAACAAACACGCCCGGACGGTGTTTGTGCGTCCAGCAGGTCGGCCCCGTTTTACTGTGAACTTTGCTCAACTGTTTCTGGCCACCTGTCTGCTTCAAATGAAACTTTAAAACGATACACGGTTTAAAACCGTTTCAATAAAGACCAACTGCTGCTCGGCAAAAAGAAAACAAACGGTCCAACGGAAAATAAACCCAATGAATATTAGGCACGTCAGTGGAAATAAGTTTTTATACTTACTGATAATAAAGAGGAAAAATCATGCCAAGAAAGGAGTTTTCATTAAGCATAAATTAGATTTTCACCGATTTAAACTCCAGCTGCCAAGAGTTTTCAACTTGACAATATCATCTTTAAAGAACATTTTATACACAAGTACAATAAAAAATATTTTTACTAGATTCACCCTCCTATTGTCCCGACTCACAACCCCACTGGAAGATGTTGGATTCCCATTTAAAGTCAATAAACTGAGACACGGAGTTCAAACGGTCATCGGCCACTCCTCCAAAGTGCTAATTTAGAGAGTTAACGTGACAGATGGCTGAGAACCAGACTTTATTGCATCAAAGCGCAGAGCTGGGCACTTCAGCTCTGGTGATGCTGCTCATTGCAACAGAAAACCTCATGTGGCCGGATGGGAAGCATGACTGACACGCATGACTAACATGCTCTGACTGGAGAAGTTATGCAACTGGCTCTATCAACTGCAGCGATCGCTGAACCACAAGTCAGTTATCATAACATTCAGCTCCATCTTTGTATGAAACTCCTCTGCTCTCCAGCGATCAGTACCTCACCAAAACACCCTCTCCGCCTCCGCTGTTGCCATGTGGCACCAAGCCATGAGGTGCAAAACTCAACCAAACGGTGACGTCTTGTGAAAACCTCTGCCGTCCACATCACCTCAACGTACATTTCTTAGCGCTTGCTAATTGTGTTTAAAAGGATTTAAAACCAATCTGGCGCACAACTAAAGAAATCACCTTTTCCTTTACACGTTTTAAACTTCTAAGAACGTTTTCAGTTTCATTTGACTTTAGCATCACTTAAAGCCTGAAAACTGAACAGTTGTGCAAACGCCTGTGTAACATTTGAACCAGTGGCTCGAGTACTTTAGTGCCACCGATAGGTTGATGTCTGAGCTGCATCCAGGACTGTCACTTTAAAACTATAATTGGGGCTGCACCGATTGCAGTTTAATGGCCGATCACCGATTTCTAAAAAGTCTGAGCTGCCGGTTCAGATTTTGGGCGACATCGATTTTGTTTTATAAGCGACACTGTCAGGTGTTATAAGGTCACATCAATTTTCTAATCTTATTTTATTGAAAAACGTACCTTTAAACAACATCCTAGGAACAATACAAACTTGTTTTAACTGGCCATGAGCTAGTGCTCTGAAATATAAATGAAGTCCATAAAATTGTAAACTTAGAAAAAAATAAAAATAATTTGGTAAAATCGGTTTCTCATGCAAGTATCAGCCAATTTCTGATTTCCCAAAAATGAGGAGATCAGGGCCCACCCCTAATAAAGATGCCCTTCATAAATAAAGCATGCTTGAAATTCTCCTATCAAGTCAAGTCAAGGAATGACGTTGTTGAAGCACTGGATGCTAAGGATTATTGTGCTGCACTTTTCTTAGACCTGTCTAAAGCTTTTGACACTGTGGATCATGACATCTTGTGTCATAAACTCTCAGAAATCGGTTTCTCAGATCACACCATTGGTTGGTTCTCTAACTATCTTTCAGACCGGAGGCAATGTGTTCAACATAATGGTACTTCCTCCAGTTATTTAACAGTCAACAATGGTGTACCACAAGGCTCAGTCTTAGGACCCACCCTCTTTACAATCTACATACATAATGTAGGTAAAAACATCCCTAATGCATCCATACATTTCTATGCTGACGACACAGTTGTTTATTGTCGAGCTAAAACAGTTGCT